ACCACGACAGACACCATATTGAGATATGACAGGAACGACGGGTCAAGGCTATTTGTTATTAATAAATGACACAGTCTTGTGACTCACTGAATCCTCTCTATAACCACACTGTGTTTCATTCTGTGTTGCTGAGGAAATCTCTATTGCAAACCAGAGGAAAAGGTTCTTTCTACGTACTCTCAGATCCATTTCCTTAAGTGCTGAGATTTTCCTGGGGACCAAAAGAGAGATTAGATATTGCTCAACATTTTAGCTGAATAAAGTGACAATGGGCTATGATAAGCTGCAGTGAAATTCAGCTACAAAGTGCTTTTCAACATTTCTCATAAAATAAGGAATTTTATTTGTAGTTAGTATATATGAATATAACTTTTGTCTGCAGGAAGCTCTTATTTGCTCTGTATTTTCCTGCGTTTTCTGCTGTACAGAATCACTGCATCCGTGATCTACAGTTAAATGTATGCTTTAAATGTGAGTGACACATTCAAGTTGCCTTGTTAGAATATATGGAGAAAGAAGAAGAAAATGAAATGGCATTCTTTTTTTTAGAAATTCTGATATAATTCGCTTATTGGAATATGAACGGTGGACTCTGAAGAAATTACTACATGTTTTGTTGTAGATTAGACTGACTAGTAGGCACAAAATAGTGTAAATGCTTTGATCATCATAGCAAATTTCTCCCATCTAGGGGAAAAATATGGCGAAAATAATATTTTTGGAAAAAATGGTCACATGACCTACTGTTTAGACAAGCACTTGCATTTACTGGTTAACAGTATAAAGTTACTAGTTACAGAATAAAACAAGTATATTGTGTCTGGTGAGTTAGTGATAACAATGGAAGGTAATTAATGCTTTATTGTGTTACTTGACTTCAGATATAGTTGCACACTGTATTCTCTCAAAGAATTAAGAATAAAGAATCTGCCACTGATTATAACAGAATCACTGATTTTCATGCATTCCTGCATTACATGAATGTTCACTTTTTTTTCCTAAAATATAGTCATGCTTACAAGATATATATTAAACCCCTCAAATTCTGGTTACTGAATTAGAATGCCATATTTCCCCTAAAGTTAATATTTTTCTAGTTTTGTCTGGCTGACTAATAACTTGATAAATCTTTCCTTTTCTTCTAATGACAGATGACTTATTAAGGGCTACCACTTAATAATTATTGCAGAACATGTGGGGAGCTGAAGAATTCAGAAGTATTTTCCATAGCTTGGACATGTAAAATGAGAAGCATAGGAGAAAACAAAAAGATAATCTTGTAGGTGAGAAAAAGCCTTTTGATTTAAGCATGGGATTGAGGTTCTCAGGAAGTGGTGAGTTCTGTCCCACAGATCCATCATACTTCCCACTAGACTATGGATAAGGCACTGATTTTTATTTTACTACAGTTGACCATTCTGCAAAATATTTAGGGTAATTTTGGTAGTCAAATACTTAGGGTAGTTTAATGCTATATGTGTCTAGCATTACCAGTGTTATAGGGAATGGACTAATTTTTGAGTTTATTGAGTTGTATTCAGACAAGCACTTCCATGATATAGTTGTAGCCTGAATAGGTGTACATAATATATAATATCTAAAGGATACTTTTGTGACATAAATATTTTAAATTATGTATCTAAAGCACATGGAAATAGACAATAATGTCAGAGAAGTTGTCGATGAAGTTTCAGCTTTCCTGAATACTATACTTTTTCTCCATTTCCAGGTTGCATGTCTCACTCACGTAGCAGCTAATTACCTTAACTGCAAAATTGAAGCAAAACGCTGGGGTACTGCTCATGGGAGTATTGTTCCATATCAGGTAAGCAGAAAGCATTAGGGTTTTTTCCTTTTTTTTTTTCTCTTGGAATTCATTATTTTGTGTATTATGAGTTTGAGAACTGACTTTTCCCATGACCTAGTGTAGTCTGTAATGTGTCTGTGTCTAGGTACGACAAGGTTCTGTTGTTCATTGTCATTTCTGTATTTTGTATATTTCTTCATCAGCAGTAGATTAGTAACAGAACACTGAAATAGATCAAAGGTGTTTGCTGAAACTGGATGACTTTAAAGCTAGCGTGATGGCTTGATTGGTTTTCACCTGATACAGAACCCTTGTTTTTTTAAGGGCTGCCTGACTTTCATACCAGTTATAAACTTCTGAAATATTTTCCTTCTGAATTTTGTGAGACTACCGGGTTTTATCTTGTGGGTCTTAAAGAGCAGTCTGAATCACCAAGATAATCTGTCAGTTCTACGTATTTGTCATTTGCTATTGATTTTGCTACAAATCACTGCCTCAGTGAGACAACAGGTTGACAAAAGGAATTAACCAGACGTCAGATCTCTTCAGAAGGATTCATACTCTGCTACATCTGATGAAGGGTTGAAATTCCTTAAAATAACATGACCTTTATCATATAAACAAGCACAGGAAAAAAAAAAGCTCTCTTCAAGTTTTATCCTACTTTTGTGCAGTACAGGAAATTCTTCCAGTAAACAAAAACTTTGTTCTTTTCTAGCTGTTCATTTTTTGTTCCTGATGGAGACCATGCTAACTTATGGAGACTTGGGCATATATTTAAATTTGAAAAATCTGGTTTTTCTTTAATTTTTTTTTTATTTTTTTAAATTGTTGTCATTTTTGCAACTAGGTAGGCAGAGCCTGCATTTCTCAGTTTCTGGCCAGAGACCTTTAAGTCCTGAGAGGGGCAGTTTCCAGCATTTGTCCGTGAGAACTGCACTGCTGAGTTTCTTTACTATCTCCTTCCTTTTTAGAGAAAGTGAGGGAAATTCAATATATTGTCTTCCCGGCACGATGTGGCAGCATGGCCGTGTTTTCTAGAACCAGCTCTGCATGACCCAGTGTAACCAAGCATCCATTACACAAGCAGTTGCATTCTGCTGTGTTTTTGTGATGCGACCTTTCGGTGCAAACCTTTTGGAACTTTGGGATGTTGAAAGTATAAAACGGATCTGAAGTGTCCGAAGGTTGTGTAAGCAAACCCCAAAACCTGACTAAACAAAACATTTTATCTTCACCATACTGTATGTGGCTGAATAACTGAAACTTGCATTCTTTTATGTCCTTTTGGCCTTTGTTTTTCCACAGTCATTATTACATTCATTGAGTATCTTTTTTTTTTTTTTTTTTTTCACAGAAAGTTCTCGAGGTATAAAAAATTTGAGGAGATTGGTTTAGATGTCTTCTGATTTAATCTTGATTAGTCATTATGTAAATAACTTTTTTTTTTTTTAAATATCCCATCTAAACTATGGTTCCTGTTTTTCTGTATGCTGTTTCTATAGTAGATATTAGAAACATTATCTGAGTATTATAAACCATTTTTATCCGAATTTTTTTGTTCATAAACCAGTACTTTGGGTGAATTTACTATGGGTGGAGTTGTGTGTGTGTGTGTTTATGGCTTGTCTGTTAACATTCCATCAGCTAGCATGGTTGTAATTCTGACTGTGACCGTAAGAGTATTATAGTTTCTAGTGGTTTTTTATTCCTTTACTAACATAAGCTATACTTAGATTCCAAAGCTCTTGACAAACTTGAATTAATCCTCACTGTTGCTATTTTACTACTTTTATAGTATCTGCTGTAGCTCATTTGTAATAAGGTTTAGAACAGAACCTGACTTTCATTCCTCATCCTAGTTATTGAATATAGTCTGTTGCTTACTAAACACTGTGACTATCACAGTGCTAATTTGTTACAATTTTTTTTTCAAGATATTTCATTCAAGTGAATTACAGCTTATTCAAATAATAAAAAACACATTTCAGAAAATTTTATGTATATTTCTATGTATTTCAGAACAAGCAGCTGGTAGCAAACTGCTGGGGAGTTTTGTTGTTGGTTGTTTATTGGTTTTGTTTTGTTTTTCCTAATGTCCTTAACTTTATTTTCTATTCCTTTGCTGTATTTTGAGGTTTTATACAAGTAATAAATTATGAAGTGATACAGAGCCTGCAATCCTTCTAAAAAGTGTCCAATTTTGTTAAATCATGAAATATCGGGCAAACATGAGGTCCTCCTATAGATATTAAAAAGGAAAAATCAAAACAACTTAACATCATCTTTCAGTGTGACAGATGTCTTTATCAGAGCCACACTAGAGTTCTGACCAAAATAATAAAAAAATATTAAAAGCACTGTAAATATGTACATGAATAGTACTTTTTTCCTAATTACTCTACTGAACACATTAAGTAGTGTATACTGAATGTAGCTTCTTCTTTCATTAAGCTAGCTTTACTTGAATAATTTTGTTCCAAATATCTTTGCAAAGGTCTTTTTTTTTTTTTTTCAATTTACAAGGTCAAATATACCTTTGACTAAATCTCTTTTATTTCACTGAATTTCCCTATTGCTTCTTGACTGAAAAACTAGCAGCATAATTTGTTCCTGAATGTGTTCTCTAGATTGACCTTTAGTACTTTTCCTTGTATTTAAAAACATAAAAATTGAGCATTAATGTGCAGATGGCTTTTTTCCTTCCTGAAACTAATACAATGCATAACAAAATCTATTTCTGCCCTGGCCTGGGTTAAGTTTGGTGTGCAAGGACTTTCAGACTCTTTAAAGATTTTTTCCTCGTTTGCTGATAATGCACTGTCTTTGTGGCATGATCATCTGAAATGCTAGAGTTTTCAGTTGTGTTTGTTCCTCTTCAGAACCCAAAAGAAAGGATTTGAACTGCTTTTGGGTGTGCAATGTCTTCCAGGGTTCCAGTAAAGCTGCCTGCAAAGGATTGCCGTAGATATTCCATAGAGGGGAACTTTGCAACGTGCCACAAAGATGAAGTACTCTAGATTCTTATCAAAATCAGAAATATTTTTTTTTTTTGAGTCCTGAAAGCTTTATGAGAAATCATCTACTCGGAGATTATCTGCTGTTTAATCAGAGCAGTGTTGTTTGAATAGGTCACTCTGGTGTTTTTGTGTGTGATCGGATCCCAGTTTGCTTGGTTTCAAGTGTTTAAACACAAACCTTGAGTTCTGGGCTGTATCTTAGATGGAATTAGTAAAAGTTTTCAAAACTAATTTCTGTAGTGAGACACCTTGTTTAGCAACAGTAGCTCTCTTGCCCATACCAAGCACCAGATCTAGACAGTCGTATTTTCTGCTTTCAGTTGAAAACACAAGACAATCAAGAAATTATTATTTTAAGCACTTACCTTTTCTGTTGACTGACCTATGGATTGTCATAACTCATCAGACCTAACATTAGTGTTTTTTTGTATTAGAGCATGACTTAGATTCTTTAAGCATCAACTTTCTTTTGTGCTAGGCATAAAATTTGCTTCATATGAGGAAACTGTCTCAGTTTCAAATGCATTAAAGTGTGTTATGAAAACCAAAGTATAAGCTCACAAGGAAGTGAAAGGTATGATGTATTAGGAAGATGAAGATAGTCAAAGATACAAATATCTTTGCATTATTTTTATCATATGCATCTCATACTTTTTGGTCATGGAATTTCATACTGTTCAGGAGTCTTACAAAGAAAATCCCATTTATGCCATTTGTGCCTCATCACAGGAACAGAGAAATGCAATAAGTTATTAGTTACCTGATTCATCTGGCAGAGATTCTTTTCACACGAAGGCACAGTGTGCACCAATTTTTCTAACTCAGCTCTGGAGAATCTCTCAGAACTTTTAATCTCCTTTTTTTTTTTTTTTTTTTTTTTTTTTTTTTTTTTTTTTTTTTTTTTTTTTTTTTTTTTTTTTTTTTTTTTTTTTTTTTTTTTTTTTTTTTTTTTTTTTTTTTTTTTTTTTTTTCAGTCAAGAGGACAGCAGAATAATGTCAATCATTTAGAAATTCCAAACTGCTTATTCCACACAAGAATGGGGATGTGTAGTCATTTTCTTGTCTGTCCTTATGTGATTTTATTGGACACTTCTGCAGCTAGTGAGTCTTGGAATCAAAAGCAACAAAGAATAGAACTTGGATTATTTGCCAAGGTTGTTTGTTTGTTTGTTTGTTTGTTTGTTTGTTTGTGAAAACTCTCCTTAAATAAATCCAAAATGGAAGAAAATCTTTTTGCTCTGTACTAACCCAGTCTAGGAGAAGATGGAACCTCTGCACAGGAAAGAAGTAAAATACAGAATTTTTTTTTTTTTTTGGGGGAGGGGAATTTTAAATTAAGGCAATGCAAAATGACTCTTCTCTCGGAATTTTATCTACATAGTACTCACCAGGACTATTTAGACTGCCTCGAGGGCCCATTGTCCTATACTTTTCTTCTGAGCAGTGAAGCATCAGTGGTATATCCCACTTGATGTGAAAATTAAATGTATTCATAGATCAAGAAAGAGTGAAGTCAGAAAAGCACATGTTATCCTGGATTCTATGAAACAAGAAAACAATATCATCTGCAGGACTTTTTTTTTTTTCTTTCTTTCTTTTGGACAAGTTTTTCTGTGTAGATTTCCTTACTAAATTTTTTTAGAAGTGTCCTACTGTGGTATGACTGGATTAACTACTGACTGCACAACCATTTTGGTCTTCCTGGGATTACTGTAGTCGGCACTCTGCTTGGTGAGAAGTGCTGGAGTATGGATTCTGTTTCCTTGCCATTTTAGTAACTGAAGAGTATAGTATTCATCTGTGGTAATCTGTGTAGAAAGCTGCCCATTTAAGAGTAATGAATTCTAGTTATTCAAACCTGACAGCATTTGCTGATAGTTTTGTGGTGATCATGCTTCAGTGACTTGTCAAGACTCTCTCCTGGACTGTCTGGAAACTGATTCAGTAGGTTTGCCTTGGGCAGTTTTGGAGATGGGCTTAGTGTATGATGTGAGATGT